TCCATGGATGGATGAATGGCTAAGCAAAATGTGGTATATCCATAAAATAGAATATTCCTCAGTCTTAAAAAGTAAGTAAATTCTGCAGAATGCTACGATGTGGATGAACCTTGAGGATGTTATGCTAAGTAAGCCAATCATGAAAAGATAAATACTGGAGGTGGAGGCGGGCAGATCACTTGAGGCCAGAAGTTCAAGACTAGCCTGGCCAACATGAAATGGTGAAACCCCATTTCTACCAAAAATACAAAAACTAGCCGGGTGTAGTGGCATGCACCTGTAGTCCCCGCTACTCATGAGGCTGAGGCACAAGACATGCTTGAACCCAGGAGGCAGAGGCTGCAGTGAGCTGAGATCATGCCGCTGTACCCCAGTCAGGGTGATAGAGCGAGACTGTATCAAAAAAAAAAAAAAAAAAAAAGACAAATACTGTATGATTCCACTTACATGAGGTACTTAGAGGTAGTCAAAATCATAGAAACAGAAAGTAGAATGGTAGCTGCCACGGGCTAGGAGGAGGGGGACGTTAGTATTTAATGGTAATAGAGTTTCAGTTTTACAAGATAAAGGTTATAGAGATGGAGGGTGGTAATGGTTGCACAACATTATAAATGTGCTTAATACCACTGAACTGTACACTTGACCCGAATTTTCTTTCCATTACCCTAATGGAATTCCCCATCTATTCTCTAAACAAATAAGCAGCTGTACCCCAGAAAGCAACACACCCAACATTATTTTATTGGAAGCCCCCACCCTAATCAGAAGCACCCAAAATCCACTTGAGAGAAAATACAGAAACGTAGGAAAGGAAGGCCAAAAGTGAATGGAAATGCATATATACACTGTACTGGAGGTCCTGGCCAGGGCAATGAGATAATTTTTTTTTCTTTTTTTCTTTTTTTAAAGAGTCGGGCATGGTGGCTCACGCCTGTAATCACAACATTTTGAGAGGGCAAGGTTGGGGGTATCACTTCTGTCCAAGGAGTTCTAGACCAGGCCTAGGCAATATAGTGAGATCCTGTCTCTATACAAAAAAAAAAAAAGTCCAGGTGTGGTGGTGCATGCCTGTAGTCTCAGCTGCTTGGGAGGCTTAAGGAGAATCACCTGAGCCTGGGGAGGTCGAGGTTACAGTGAGCTGTGATTGAGTCTCTGCACTCCAGCCTGGACAACACAGTGAGACTCTGCCTAAAAAAAAAAAAAAGAAAAAAAGAAAGTAGCCGGGCATGGTGGCACATGCCTGTAGTCCTAGTTACTTAGTTACTTGGGAGCCTGAGGTGGGAGGACTGCTTGAGCCTAGGAGTTTGGGGTTACAGTGAGCTATGACCACACAACTGCACACAAGCCTCGGTGACAGAGTGAAACTGTCTCCAAAAATAAAATTAATGTAATTTAATTTTTAAAAAGAATAAAGATTAGAAGGAAAATATAATACTGTTTTTATTTACAGGCAATATGATGATAAGGTCCTAATCAAATCTATAATTTAAAAGGTCACAGCACATAATGCCAAAATACAAAAATCAATTGTGTTTCTATACACATGCAATAAACAATGAAAACAGAAAAACTACCAATTACAATATCATTAAAAATATTTACCTAGGAATAAATTTATCAAGAAATGTTCAAAATCTCTACATTGGGCTGGGTGTGGTGGCCCATGCCTATTATCCCAGCACTTTAGGAGACTGAAGTGGGAGGACAGCTTGAGCCCAGGAGTTTGAAACTAGCCTGAGCAACACAGTGAGACATCTCTACTAAAATAAAAATTTAAAAAATTAGCTGGGCATGGTGGCATATGCCTGTAGTCCCACCTACTCGGGAGGCTGATGTGGAGATCACTTGAGTCCAGGAGGTTGAGGCTGCAGTGAGCTTTGATCATACCACTGCACTCCAGCCTGGACGACAGAGTAAGACTGTCTCAAGAAAAAAAAAAAAATCATCACTGAAAATTACAAAACTCAGTTGAGAGAAACTAAGGGAAACTTAAATAAATACATACACAATTATGTGTTAATGACAGCGATATGTTCTGAGAAATGCATTGTTAGGTGACTTCCTTGTGCAAACATCATAGAATGTACTTACACAAACCTAGATAGTATAGCCTACTACATACCTAGGCCATATGGTATAGTCCATTGCTCCTAGGCTACAAACCTGTATAACATGTTATTACATACCATAGGTAATTGTAACACAATGGTAAGTATTTGTGTACTTAAACATATCTAAACATAGAAAAGGTACAGTAAAAATATGGTATTACAATCTTATGGGACCACATATGCAGCCAGTCATTGACCAGAAATCGTTATGTGGCACATGACTATATATACCATGTTCAAGGATCAAAAGATTCAATATTAAGATGTCAAATCTGAGCTGGGTGAGGTGGCTCATGCATGTAATCCCAGCACTTTGGGAGGCCAAGGTGGGTGGATCGCTTGAACCCGGGAGTTCAAGACCAGCCTGGCCAACATGGTGAAACCCTGTCTCTATAAACTACAAAAATTAGCCAGGTGTGGTGGCACACACCTGTAATCCTAGCTACTTGGGAGGCTGAGGCACGAGAATCAGTTGAACCTGGGAGGTGGAGGCTGCAGTGAGGTGGTGCAGTGAGAAGGTGCAGTGGAGGTGGAGATTGCACCACTGCACTCAGCCTGGGTGACAGAGCAAGACTCTGTCTCAAAAAGAATACAAAACAAAGACAAAACCATAAACAAACATCTACACAAAGGTCAGATGGGCAGAGATTTCTTAGACTGGACACAAAAAGCAATAACCATAAAAGACAAAATCAGTAATTTGGATTTCATCGACATTAAAAACTTTTCTCCAAGAGACACCATTAAATAAAAAGACAAGCCACAGACTGGTGGAAAATATTCACAACACATATCTCACAAAAGACTTGAATCTAGACTATATTAAGAATTCCTATAATCAATAATGGAAAGGCAAACAACTCAATTAAAAAAATAGACAAAGGCTTTGAGCAGACACTTCATGAACATATATAAATGGCCAATAAACATATGAAAAGGTTTTCAGCATCATTACCATCAGGGAAATGTAAATTAAAACCACAATGAGATACCACTACATACACACCTACTAGAATGGTTAAAATGAAAAAGACTGACAACACCAAGGGTTGATGAAGACGTGAAGCAAACACAACTCTTACAAACTGTTTCATAAAATGGTACAACCACTTTAGAAAACCGGTAGTTTCTAATAAAGTAAGCCCTACAGCCGAGAATATTTTCACAAAAAGACCTGCAGAAAAATACTCATAATAGCTTTATGCAAGATAGCCAAAAATTAGAAACAACCCAAATAACTGTCAATAGGACAGATAAATAAATAGTACTATATTCATTCAATGGAATACTACTCAGCCTAAAAAGCAACAGATTAGTTATACTTTCAATAACATGAATGAATCTGAAAAATATGTTGAACAAAAGAAGCCAGAACAAAACTGTATGATTCCATTTATATGAAGTTTATAAACAAATAAAATTAATATGTAGTGATAGAAACAGAAGAGTAGTTGACTCTGAAGATTGAATACTTACTAGAAAGAAGCACAAAGGAACTTTCAGAGGTGATGGAATTGTTCTAGATTCAGATAATGGTAATCTAGGTGTATATTTAGTATCTGTGCATTTTACTGTGTATAAATTATTCCCCAATAAAAGGGGTGAAAAAGCCATGTATTTGCATTAATTTTTTGTTTTATAGTACAAAAGTCAGTTGAAAATAACACATCCTTTTAATCACCAGAAATAACAGAAGAAAGTTTGTCTCCCATTTCAAGTAATATGGCAACATCACGATTGAATTTTTTCCAAAGAAAAACAATTTTAGAACAATCTACAGTGGATCTTTCTCAGCTTTTGGGCCACCAACCATTGGGGAGACTATGTTCTCATATCTACATGCTCCTTAGTTTCTTAACCAAAGGTGACTAAAGTTCAAATATTACATGGGAAGTCTATGAATTTTTTAACGTTCCTTTGTGCTTCTTTCCAGTCAATTCTCAACTGCAGAGTCAACTGCTTCTCTGATTTATATATTAACATTTCTTGTTCATGAACTTCATATAAATAGAATCTTTTGAAGCACATTTAGAGTATATCTTTTTTTTTTTTGAGATGGGGTCTTGCTCTGTTGCCCAGGCTGGAGTGCAGTGGCGTGATCTCGGCTCACTGCAACCTCCACCTCCTGGGTTCAAGCAAATCTCCTGCCTCAGCCTCCCCAGTAGCTAGGATTACAGATGTGCGCTACCACGCCCAGCTAATTTTTGTCTTTTTTAGTAGAGACAGGGTCTCACCACATTGGCCAGGCTGGTCTCAAAACTCCTGACCTCAAGTGATCCACCTGCCTTGGCCTCCCAAAGGGATTACAGGCATGAGCCACTATGCCTGGCCTAGAGTATGTCTTTTTTTTTTTTTTAAATAAAAATGTACCATTACTCAAAAACACAGGAAACCAGTGACTATGACAAATGAATATCTAAATCTTTCCTAGTAACCAAATCAAAGAGCAACTAAAGAGTACATGGCTAACAAAGTATGTGATGTAAAAATATATTAGAAATAAAGTTTTATAAACTATAATGCACTGGGGGCCAGGCATGATGGCTCACGCCTATAATTCCAGCACTTTGGGAGGCTGAGGTAGGCAGATCACCTGAGGTCAGGAGTTCGAGACTAGCCTGGTCAACATGGCGAAATCTCGTCTATACTAAAAATACAAAATCAGTCAGGCATGGTGGCATGCGCCTGTAATCCCAGCTACTTCGGAGGCTGAGGCAGGAGAATTGCTTGAACCTGGGAGGTGGAGGTTGCAGTGAACTGAGATCACATTACTGCACTGTAGCCTGGGTGACAGAGCCTTGCTCTGTCAAAACAAAACAAAACTATAATGCATGTATTGGATATTATTTATCTTCAATAAACAAGAAGAGTCAAAAAATCGCTTTTCACCTTAAGTTTTGGATATATGTAGCGCAAAGAATCTGCAGTTCCCATGTCAGCATCATCAGGAATACACACAATATCTGGCTTCATTTTCATCTTGAATTCTGCACATAGAGCCTTTTGAACATCCCTGGTTGTAACCACAATGACTTCTATAGGACAAAAGAAAAAAAGAAAGAAAAGCAAAAACTTATTCATGTAGACAGTGGTTTCACTATTTCAATTAGATTTGGTCTATTTCTAGGTATAATAACAACTGCTAATATTATTGCGCCTTTTCAATGTGTTTTACCTGCATTCCCCCAATTAATTCTATTTTTTTTTTTTTTTACAGACAGGGTCTTAGCCACTCAGGCTGGAGTGCAGTGGCACTATCACAGCTCACTGCAGCCTCAACCTCCCGAGGTCAGGCAATCCTCCCACCTCAGCCTCCCAAGTAGCTGAGACTACAGGCATGTGCCACCATGCTTGGCTAATTTTTGTACATTCTGTAGAAATGAGGTTTTACTCTGTTGCCCAGGCTGGTCTCCAACTCCTGGGCTCAAAGGATCCACCAGCCTTGGCCTCCCAAAGGGTTGCAATTACAGGCGTGAACCACTGCGTCTGGCCTCCCCTAATTAATTCTTACAGCAGTCTCATCTTATAAATAAGGTATCTTGGATTAAAAGACATGCTGGTTGGGCGCAGTGGCTCATGCTTGTAAATCCCAGCATTTTGGGAGGCCGAGGGAGGCAGATCACTTGAGCCCGGGAGTTCAAGACCAGCCTGGGCAACATGGCAAAACCTTGTCTCTACAAAAAACTTCAAAAAACCGGAGGTTTAGGTGGGAGGATTGCTTGAGTCTGGGAGGCAGAGGTTTCAGTGGGCCAAGATCACCCCACTGCACTCCAGCCTGGGCAACAGTGTGAGTCTCTCTCAAAAAAAAAACCAAACAAACAAAAAATCAGGTCTATATGAATGGTGCCCACACTTTAATATATTATATGCCACTTCTCCTTGATATGAAGAATTCAGAAGAACGTTCATCAAATATACAAATGGGAAGAAATACAAAAAACACTTTGGGAAGCCAAGGCGGGTGGATAACTTCAGCCCAGGAACTCAAGACCAGCCTGGGTAACATGGCGAAACCCTATCTCTGCCAAAAAAAAAAAGAAAAAAAATAAAAATTATCCAGACGTGGTGGCGTGCATGTAGTCGCAGCTACTCAAGAGGCTAAGATATGGCCGGGCACGGTGGCTCAAGCCTGTAATCCCAGCACTTTGGGAGACTGAGATGGGCGGATCACGAGGTCAGGAGATCGAGACCATCCTGACTAACACGGTGAAACCCCGTCTCTACTAAAAAATACAAAAAACTAGCCGGGCGAGGTGGCGGGTGCCTGTAGTCCCAGCTACTCGGGAGGCTGAAGCAGGAGAATGGCGTGAACCCGGGAGGCAGAGCTTGCAGTGAGCTGAGATCCGGCCACTGCACTCCAGCCTGGGCGACAGAGCGAGACTTCGTCTCAAAAAAAAAAAAAAAGAGGCTAAGATGGGAGGATCGCTTGAGCCCAGGAGGCAGAGGTTGCAATGAGCTGAAATCATGCCACTGTACTCCACCCTCGGGCAAAAGAGTAAGACCCTATATCAAAAAATCAAAAAAACCAAATGGGGCCATGCATGGTGGCTCACGCCTGTAATTCCAACACTTTGGAAGGCCGAGACAGGCAGATCACTTGAGGTCAGAAGTTCAAGACAGGCAGATCACTTGAGGTCAGAAGTTCAAGACCAGCCTGGACAACATGGTGAAACTCTGTCTCTATCAAAAATAAAAAAAAATTAGCTGGGAGTGGTGGTGCACGCCTGTAGTCCCAGGTACTTGGGAGACTGAGGCAGGAGAATTGCTTAAATCAGGGAGGTGGAGGCTGCAGTGAGCTGAGATCACATCACTGCACTCCAGCCTGGGCGACAGAGTGAGACTCCAACATTTTAAATCTTCATTCAATACAAAGAGAGAGCTATTAAGCTACCACTCCTTCCTATTGGAGGCAACTCTAATAATGGAATGAACACTGGATCACAAGACTGGGCCTCAGGCTTTGGCACCCTGATTTATTATATTTAAATATAGGACACCTCAAACTCAATGTGACCAAAGCTGAACTCATTATTTTAATGAAGACAAAATTCATTAAAACCTTTTCCTGGCCAGGCACAGTGGCTCACACCTGTAATCCCGGCACTTTGGGAGGCCGAAGTGGGTGGATCACAAGGTCACAAGATCGAGACCATCCTAGCTAACATGGTGTAACCCCGTCTCTACTAAAAATACAAAAAATTAGCCAGGCGTGGTGGCACACGCCTGTAGTCCCAGCTACTCAGGAGGCCGAAGCAGGAGAATCGCTTGAACCTGGGAGAGGTTGAACCCTGGCAGAGGTTGCAGTGAGCTGAGATCATGCCATTGCACTCCAGCCTGGGTGACAGAGCAAGACTCTGTCTCAGAAAAAAAACAACAACAAAACTGTTCCTTCTTTCCTATTCCTTTTCCTACTTAATGGCATAACTATCTACCTAGTAATGGCATGACTATCTACGTAGTTACCCAAGCAAAAAGTAGAGAGGATCACTAGACTTTAAGGTTCTGGAAGTCAGGGCCTGAGCTGTCTTTTCAATTCTGTACCTCCATGCTTAATACAGAACCTAGTACTTACATCAAAACACAATTTAAAACATATATATATTATGTATCAGATAATACAAATATTACCTGGTACATAATAGACTCTAAGTGCTGACTATGAGGCATTTAAGGTCTCAATCTGCTCTTTCTGATATCCTTACAGGGTTCCTCTTGGATCACTGTGGACATGAGCTCCATAACGACAACACTTAGTGCTATCCTCTCAACCTTTTTCACACAGCAATAGAGTACTCCTACATTCCTTTTTTTAAAAAGCCAGTCTTCAGCCAATGAGTTCTAGTCATCCTCTCTCACTCTCATAATGCTGACAAATCATGGGGATCAAATCCCCTAAAAGTTTTATGAGTTCACAGCACACTTTGTCATAGCTCACCTTCAAATCCAACACGCTCAAGCAGGTTCAATGGGTACCAAATTAAAGGTTTGTTCCCAACTGGAAGCAGAGGTTTGGGAATGCTGGAAGTTAGGTCTGTCATCCGAGATCCTCCACCTACTGCCATCACTACTGCTTGAAATTCCATTTTTACAAACTGCAAGTACAGAAAAAACAATTAACAGAAAAAAACCAATGTAACAAAAATCAAAGCACACACAATACTAGCCTATTTTTATTTAGGTTACTGATATCCACTATGTCAAATGCATAATTCCCAACTCTAGCAATCAGAGTAAGAAAAGCTTAGCTGCAGATAAACATTATGTCTACCAATATGTATTCTCAGTTCTATCCTTGGTAAAAGTGGGAGGATATGAATGAAGGGCCCTTGCCCTTGAGTTATTCACAATTAAGTGGAGAAGACAAATTCAGTAAATCGCAATATATGTCATTAGTGCCACAGCAGGAAAATATCCAAGATATAGTGGGCATACAATAAAAGGAACATCTAGTTGTCATTGAAAACACAGGGAAGGTTTTAGAGGAAGTGATGCTTGAGCTGACACTGAAGAAGTAAGAGTTTACCAAGTGGGCTTCTGATGTATGAATTTTTATTCTTTGAAAATATTAGGCTGGGTGAGGTGACTCACATCTATAATCCCAGCACTTTGGGAGGCTGAGGTGTGTGGATCACATGAGCTCAGGAGTTCGAGACCAGCCTGGGAAACATGGCGAGACGCCATCTCTACCAAAAATACAAAAAATTAGTCAGGCGTGATGGCTTGTGCCTATGGTTCCAGCTACTTGGGAAGCTGAAGTGGGAGGATCATTTGAGCCTGGGAGGCAGGTGTTGCAGTGAGCCGAGACTGGGCCACTGCACTCCAACCTGTGTGACAGAGTGAGATCCTGTCACCAAAAAAAAAAAAAAAAAAAAAAAAAAAAAAAAATATCAAAAAGCAATTTGTGTTGACTTTTTATTTTTATATGTTGTGTCTTCTGAATTTTAGGTCTTCTAAAAAAAAAAAAAAAAAAGAGAAAAAAAGAAAACATTAAAAGATGTCTGACTAGAATTAACAGCAGAAACACAAGCATGTTAGGATTTCGAAAAGTATGAAATGACTTAAGACTCCAATAATTCAGCCATCGGCTCATCTTATTCCTCCAATTTTTAAAGATATCACTATAAACACAAACATAGGCTTGTATCTGAACCTAGATTTACAGAACACAATTATAAAAACAAACCAAACGGTTAATTCCTTTTTTCAAACTCAAGGTAATAAACAAACCTATTTGACTTTGAAAAGAATCTCTTTACAGAAACTACCACAGAACAGAAACACAGTAAAAGGTCATAAATATTTATTTATTTATTTATTTATTTTTGGAGATGGAGTTTCACACTTGTTGCCAGGCTGGAGTGAAATGGCGTGATCTCGGCTCACTGCAACCTCCACCTCCCAAGTTTAAGCGATTCACCTGCCTCAGCCTCCCAAGTAGCTGGGATCACAGGCATGGGCCACCATGCCCAGCTAATTTTGTATTTTTAGTAGAGATGGGGTTTCACCATGTTGGCCAGGCTGGTCCCAAACTCCTGACCTCAGGTGATCCACCCGAGTCGGCCTCCCAAAGTGCTAGGATTACAGGCGTGAGTCACCACGCCCAGCCTATTTACTTATTATTTATTCAGAGACAGAGTCTTGCTCCACTGCCCAGTCTGGAAGTGCAGTGGCAAGATCATGGCTCACTACAGCCTCAACCTCCTGCACTAAAGCAATCCTCCTGCCCCAGTCTCTGGAGTAGCTGGGACTACAGGTGGGTGCCACCATGCCTGTTTTTTTTTGTTTGTTTGTTTTTTTCTTTTTGAGATGGAGTTTCTCTCTTGTTGCCCAGGCTGCAGTGCAGTGGTGCAATCTCAGCTCACCGCAACCTCTGCCTCCTGGGTTCAAGCGATTCTCCTGCCTCAGCCTCCCAAGTAGCTGGGATTACAGGCATGCATCACCATGCCCAGCTAATTTTGTATTTTTAGTAGAGATGGGGTTTCTCCATGCTGGTCAGGCTGGTCTCGAACTCCCAACCTCAGGTCATCTGCCCGCCTCGGCCTCCCAAAGTGCTGGGATTACAAGTGTGAGCCACTGCACCTGGCTGCCTGGCTAATTCTTTTAATTAATTTTTTATAGAGACAGGGTTTCACTATGCTTCTCAGGCTGGTCTCAAACTCCTGGCCTCAAGCCTCCTGCCTGGGCCTCCCAGTGCTGAGATGAGAGGCATGAGCCACTGTGCCTGACCCATCTTTATTGATTTAAACTGAAACTACTTTCTCTGACTTACAACAATGATGTAATTTTAAATGTGTTAAAAGGTAACATTCAGAAGAAACAATGTATTCAACATCAAATTGCCAAATAACTTGTTGCAACTTTACTATAATTATTATTACTCCTGGGCCCAGGGACATCAACATCTAAAGTGCAGCGCTTAATACCTACTATACTCAAGGCACAAAGTGAAGGCTCTTGCATAACATTCACAATGTAAAGATATGGTCATTTAGATTCTAGCAAGCATTGCCTCAGACTGGAATTTAATTTCATTTTGGCATTGTATAACATCCACCACATCTAATGTTATTATGAAAAGAGCACTGGATGCTTAAGAGACAAAAGATGGGCTGGGCGTGGTGGCTCACACCTGTAATCTCAGCACTTTGGGAGGCCCAGGTAGGTGGATCACCTGAGGTCAAGAGTTCAAGAGCAGCCTGGACAACTTGGTGAAACCCTGTCTCTACTAAAAATAATTTTAAAAGTAGCCAAACATGGTGTCAGGTGCCTGTAATCCCAGCTACTCGGGTGGCTGAGGCAGGAGAATCACTTGAACCTGGGAGGCAGAGGTTGCAGTGAGCTAAGATCACACCAGTCGCACTCCAACCTGGACGACAGAGCGAGACTGTCTCAAAACAAATAAAAATAAAAAAGAGCCAAAAGATGGCCGGGCACAGTGGCTCATGCTCCCAGCACTTTGGGAGGCCAAGATGGGAGGATTGCTTGAGCCCAGGAATTCTAGAACAGTCTTGGGCAACATGGTGAGACCCCATCTCTATAAAAAATTAGCCAGGTGTGGTGGTGCATGCATGTAGTCCCAGATACTCGGGAGACTGAGGTGGGAGAATCACCTAAGCCTGGGAGGTTAAGGCTGCACACCACTGCACTCCAGTCTTGGCAACAGAATGAGACCCTGTCTCAAAAAAAAAAAGAGTCAAAAGATGAGTTTGAGTCACGATTCTGTCACTCATAGGTGGTGTGATCAGGGGCCTGACATTTAAAACTCTCAGTGTCCTCAGCTTCCAGAAGGAAGCCTGGTGGTTAGGTTCACAGACCATAGAGTCAGAATGCCTAGGTTTGAATTCTAGATCTACTATTTATTATTAGCTGTGTGAACTAGGGCAAACTAAACTTTTCTATGCCTGTTTTTGCATTTTATGATGGGGATAATTACAGTTTTACTTCACAGAGTTGTTGTTAAGATTAAATGTTATTCTACGTAAAGTAGACAAAATAATGTCCATCCCATGAGAAGCACTATATTTGTATTTGCTTTATTAGACAGAGACTAGATCAGGGAAAACCTTCCTACTAACTGAACATGCTGCTTCATAATTCTGGTCTCTACACTGCTACTGTTGCTTCCTAGTCTGCCTTCTCTTGCATCTAGCAATCACCTATTAAACTCTGAAGACAGCTCAAGAATCCTCTTGCCTACAAAGCCATTCCTAACCATTCCCACCCCTCCAGAAGTGACTCCTTTCCCCGAAGTGCTTCCACTTTGCCATGTGCAGATTATCTTAGCCTTTACAGGGTTTCATTGCACATGTGTTTAAATGTCTACTTAAGTATAATATTAATGTCTCTTAAATGTCTATATAAGAGTCTAAAAGTGACTTTCTTGGACTGTGTGTGCATCATCACTGTATTCCCAGTCAGACGTCAGAAATCAGAGTGGAATGAGGACCTGTGAACTTCACAACTGTGTAAGAGTCAAACTCAAACATGTGCACAAGGGCATTAGAATCCAGGTCACTAGGAACTGAGGTTCCCGCTCTCAAGGAGGCTCTGGGTGAAGAAAGGCAACCTAGGAAGCCTGAATAGTTACCAAGAACATAACTAATCATGTTACCAGGCAGACTGTCAAATGCTCATGTCACTGCCACGACTATGGGTGACGGGAATCCTGGCAACGAGTCTCGCTGCCTCCCAAGCTTTAGAGAGGGTGCTCGCCGCATCTCAGACTTGCCTGCATCATAGCACTCATGCCTTCTCCAGTTGTAAATAGATACGAAAACTGTAACAGAATTGGTCTGTCATTCCACGTGTGCTGCCTGAAGGCAGAGACCTTGCTGCATTCCTCCTTGTATTTCACTGCCCTGCATCCAAACAACTAAAGGAAGGCTGAATAAACGAATGAAGGGCTGGGGCGAAAGAGTGCAGGCACAGTGCTAAAGGCGTCTGGTGGCTGGCTGGTGCTCGCTCGCTAGCTGTGACTTCAAGCAGAACCTCCCCTCCTCGAAACTTCCTTTCTTTCTTTTCTTTTTTCTTTCTTTCTTTTTTTTTTTTTTTGAAACGAAGAGTCTCACTATGTTGCCCAGGTTGGAGTGCAATGGCGCGAATTCGGCTCACTGCAACAAACGATTCTCCCGCCTCAGACTCTCGAGTAGCTGAGATTAGAAACTTAGTTTCTCCATCTGTTGCATAAGGTAGTTGGCTCGGATTCTCCCCCAACCTCCCTTCTGCTTCGGACACAGCTACACGGTCGGGTCGAGCAGGGAGTCGAGCTGGCAACTTCGGGGCTCAGCACCCCCTCCTACCCCTTGGGGTCCACCTCGGCCCAGTTCGACATGCCCGCCTCCCTCAGATGAGTGGCCCCACCGCGCTGCTCACCCGGGTCAGCCAGCTCGTGCGCGGCCTGGCAGGGCAGAAGTCACAGCTATACCTCAGCTCCCCGCACGCCACAACCGCTCCCAGCGCTCTCCACGCCGCCTCTGACTGACAGCCCAATGGCGCAGGCGCGCGATGGCCGAGAAACTCGATGGAACGCTCTGAGCAGACCCACGGAGAAGGGACGAGCGCCGAGCGATGGATGACGGAGGGGACGCAATCGCCGCAGAGAGGAGGGGGCGGGGCCACCGAGGAGCATTCGACACTTGTCCCACATTACCAACGCCCTTTGAGTATTCCAGCGCAGGGTGCCAGGAACCCAGACGGAGCAACTCAGCCTTCTTCCTCAGGGAGTAAGTCTAGGACTTGGCTCCGAGTACATTCAGTGAAAGAAAGCTCATTGGGATCCGCAATTTTGGCTAGCTAGTGAAAAAAAATCACCGAATGCTCCTGCAGGGGTTGCCAGGGCTTCCTATTTGTGAGACGTATAACAAGGCCACTCACATTAACTTTAGTCATCAAAACTGGGGGCGGCTGGGCATGGTGGCTCATGCCTGTAATCTCCGCAATTTGGGAAGCCGAGGTGAGAGGACTGCTTGAAACCGGGAGTTCAAGACCAGCCTGTGCGAGAGAGACTCCAGTCTCTATAAAAATAAAAATTAGCTGGGTAGTGTGTGCCTGTAGTCCCCGCTGCTCGGGAGGCTGAGGTGGGAGAATCGCTTGAGCCCAGGAGTTCGAGGCTGCAGGGAACTATGATCGGGCCACTGCATTCCTCCTGCCTAGATGACAGAGACAGACGCTGGTTTTTTTTGTTTGTTTGTTTGTTTAATTTAGTTTTTATTTCATAATCATAAACTGAACTCTGCAATCCAGTTAGGCATGGAAAGGAACAAGGAAAACGTGGAACCCAAAGGGGACTGCAGCGAGAGCACAAAGATAAGATACTGCGAGCAGGCCGGGTGTGGTGGCTCACGTCTGTAATCCTAGCACTTTGGGAGGCCGAGGTTGGCGGATTGCCTGAGCTCAGGAGTTCAAGATCAGCGTGGGCAACATGATGAAACCCCATCTCCACTAACAAAAAAAAAAAAAAAAAAAAAAATTAGCCAGGCGTGGCAGCATGCCCCTGTAGTCCCAGCAACTCGGGAGGCCGAGGAAAGAGAATTGCTTGAACCCGGGGGGTGGAGGTTACAGTGAACCGAGATCGTGCCACTGCACTCCAGCCTGGGAAAGGGCGACAGGGCGAAACTCCGTCTCAAAAAAAAAATACTGCAAGCAAATGAGGTGAAGGGGATGCTCTCCTGAGCTACAAAAGGAATGGTCTAGCGGTTAAGATAAAACACAAGCCAAACTTGTTAGAGTTGTCCACAGTCAGCAGTGGTGATCTTGCTGGTCTTGCCATTCCCGGACCCAAAGTGCCCCATGGCCTCCACAATATTCATGTCTTCTTTCACCTTGCCAAAGACCACATGCTTGCCATCCAACCACTCAGTCTCGGCAGTGCAGATGAAAAACTGGGAACTGTTCGTGTTGGGTCCAGCATTTGCCATGGACAAGATGCCAGAAGCTGTATGCTTTAGGACGAAGCTCTAGTCATCAAATTTCTCCCCGTAGGTAGACTTGCCACCAGTACCATTATTTTGGCGTGTGAGGTCACAACCCTGACACATAAACCCTGAAATAATTCTGTGAAAGCAGGAACATTTATAACCACATCTTTTCTCTACATTGCTCAGAGCACGAAAGTTTTCTGCTGTCTTTGGAACCTTGTCTGCAAATGGCTCGAAGGAGACACGGCCCAAGGGCTTGCCGTGGGCGATGTGGAACACGGTGGGGTTAACCACGGCTGATAGTACAGAGCTCCCGGCGGCGGCTGCTTCTGCAAAGCCAAGACCCTGTTTTTAACAAAACAGTAATTGGCCAGGTGCGGTGGCTCAGGCTTATAATCCCAGCACTTTGGGAAGCGAGGCGGATGGATCCCTTGGGCCCAGGAGTTCGAGACCAGCCTGGGCAACATAGTGAAACACCCTCTCTACTAAAAACACAAAAATTAGCCAGGTGTGGTGGCGCATTGTGGGGTCCCAGCTACTTGGAAGGCAGGAGGATCTCTGGATCCCAAGAGGCAGAGGTAGCAGTGAGCCAAGATGGTATCACTGCACTTCAACCTGGGTAACAAAGAGATGAGATCTCTAAGTAAATGAAATAAATATTAAAAAATGACGAATAGATAATAAAATAATTGCTGTTCTAAGCTCTATGTTTTGGAGTGGTTTATCAAGTTGCACTAGATAACAGGACCAATGGCCATTCTCTTTTTCCCATGCATTCCTGCAATTTCATAATTTTTTTTTGAAACGGAGTCTTACTCTGTCACCAGGCTGAAGTTCAGAGGCACGATCTCGGCTCACTGCAACCTCTGCCTCCTGGGTTCAAGTGATTCTCCTGCCTCAGCCTCCCGAGTAGCTGGGACTACAGGCGTGCGGCACCACGCCTGGGTAATTTTTGTATTTTTAGTAGGGATGGGGTTTCGTCAGATTGGCCAGGATGGTCTTGAACTCCTGACCTAGTGATCTGCCTGCCTCGGCCTCCCAAAGTGGTAGGATTACAGGCGTGAGCCACTGTGCCAGGTCTGATTCATCTCTTAAATCTTGAGTTGCTTTACCTCCCTGCCAGCTAAAAGGTAGAGTATGATTTCTGTAATAAAAATAAAGGAGCTTGACTTCATTCAACAATATTTATTCATTTATTTTTAGAAATGAGGTCAGCTTATGCTGCCCAGGCTGGACTCAAACTCCTGGGTTCAATGATCCTCTTGCCTCAGCTTCCCAAGTAGCAAGGACTACAGGTATGTGCCATGGAGGAATGACTTCAACAATATCTATAGTGCCTAATATATGCCAAGCAGTGTCTTAGATGCTTGGTGTTGCAGATACAGCAGTCAGTGATTAGGACTTGTCGTTTTTTCCAGAAGGAGTTCTGCTTAGACCCTGAGAAAAAAAAAAAAAAAAGGGACTCATATCCTAAAACCAGCCTATCTTTGCCTTGCCATGAACTGATTGATCTGGCCACAGGAGGCCTGAAGTCTGACTACCCCTCTATGGAAACATAGAGATATTCTCTCTTTGGTATTACCTCAACCAAGCTTTGGAAATTACAGCATGGTTTTGAGGTAAGAACTAATTATAAATAAGAAATTATAAGTAAGAACAGCAGTCAGCCCCGTATCTGCCATCCGTTTCATATCCTTATGTTTAAACTAGCGAATGTTTTTCAAGGAACTAGAGGGCTTTCTCTTCTATTGTGGAAAGTAGTTGAGAGATTGCTTCAATTTAAACTCACTTTAAATTATTCCCTGAGGGCAATAATTCTCAAATTTTTTCATCTCTGGACTCTTTATACTTAAAAATTACTGAGGACCCCAGAAAGCTTTTGTTTATATGGATTGTATTTATCAATATTTACCATATCAAAAATTCTTTTTTTTTTTTTTGAGACGGAGTTTCACTCTTGTTGCCCAGGCTGGAGTGCAACGGCAGGATGTCAGTTCACTGAGACCTCTGCCCCTTGGGTTCAAGTGATTCTCCTGTCTCAGCCTCCAAGTAACTGGAATTTACAGGCATGCGCCACCACGCCCAGCTGATTTTGTCTTTGTAGTAGAGACGGGGTTTCTCCATGTTGGTCAGGCTAGTCTCAAACTCCTGACCTCAGGTGATCTGCCTGCCTTGACCTCCCAAGTGCTGGGATTACATGCGTGAGCCATTGTGCCAGGCCAACTACATTTTCAAAACAAAAAGTTTAGTGAGATGAATGCCATTGTTTCACCTTTTTGAAGTCTCTTTAGTGACTGGCTTAACAGAAAACAGCTTGATTTTTCCATTACTGTGATATATTATTTTGGTTTAATTTTATCATAAAAATGTGACTTCACATAGCTATGTAGTTGGTAAGAGAGCTTTTAATAACCTTTTCAGATAATTTTAGATATTCTTTGATACTATACCAAAATTCAACAAGTGGTAGTTTGTTAAAGGTTTGTTGCAATGTAGAATCGGAAATTATATCAATGAACATTTTGTACTTTGTTACAATACTTGCACTTTGAATGGACATTTTCCCCATGCATGACCTTGCAACTTGGTATACTAATAATATATAAAATATTGGTTCACAGAGTTACGCAGATCTTCCTAACACTGACTCATTATACAATATTTTAAAATCACATTTGTTAATATTACTAACAATCTCATCAGAAAAATTCTTAAATATTGGAAAGCTGGGAAGCTGATGATGACAGATACAAGTTTTATAAAATTCTAATTTTTGGCCAGGCGTGGTGGTTCAAGCCTGTA